CGGGGATACCGGCAAAGTAGTTAGTGGAGCCGAGGCGGAGTTTTGTGTCGCGGAAGAAGGGCTGGGCGAGGGAGGGTAGGGCGAGGGAAAGGAGCAGAAGGAACGAGATGGCGGATCGGGAGGTCATGACGAAAACGTTAGACAAGCCTCGCTTGTCAGAGATGATCAGGGCGCGAACGTGGAAACTGCCGTGTAGGGGAAGGGGCTTGTACGACGTGGTGGTGATGTTGGTTTTATACAGACGGAGGGACGACGGAGAGGTCGCGTCATTTATGCGATGCTTGTGATCGGTGTATGTCGCAGGGGGTGGGGCCTGCGGTGGGCATACAGGGAACGGTATACTCAGAGTAATGTGGGATGGTGTCTCGTTCAAGGGCGTTGTGGTGAGTCTGGGAGCAGATGGATGGGGCGAACTTTGGACTAAGGTGATGAACTGTACGTATAGGTGGTGGTAATTGGGGTGGGATGTGTGTTTACAGAGGCGAACGGACTCGTATGCAGGTCCGTAAGGCGCTAACGCGCTACAATACGTGAGTAGCGTACGATATGTACACGAAATGCGGGAAGGAGGGAGTGTGAGGTGTTGGTGTAGGCGGGCTGCGTCGGGTTGATGCGGAATACAGTCGAGCGTGTGAATCAATCAATCTGTAGATGTAAATTTCAACTCTCCGACAGTCCGACAGCGACATTTCGTGGAGAGAGAATTAATTCCTAAACACACCCACCGCTTTGCCCCTTCCGCTGCTTTGCTGCTCCTCTCAACGTACCGTACCTGTGAGTATTGCACATACAATATAGCGTGGCATGCGGTAGGCCAACGTGTGTATTCTCGGCTTACCCACTTTTCTTACTTGTACCGTACGGAATCCGCGTGCTCGAGAACTGCAGGAAGCGTACATTTGGACTGTGCAGAAAAACCTAGAACCCACCTTTGCCACGCAAGTTATTCAATAGGGCTTTGATATGCCCAGATATGCCCTGTAGAGCGGGACGCCCCCATAGTACGGCCACAGTGTCGACTCTATACCCAAGGCAACAATGTACAGTAAAGCCATGCGATACTCGGACGGTACCCAAGGGTACTCCTCTGGGCTTGTCCACATCATGACACTAATGTTTCAGGGACGAGGCCCAAAGAAGGGCATCTTGGTCCGGCAACATTAGTTTACAGGCCGTCTGTACCGCCCACTGTACTTTCAGACACTCTTTACTGCATACCGATGCCCACTTGTCATCTGGACACCGGACTACAACACAGACAGGCCAGATGCAAAGTGAGACCAGGTGTACAGCACCTTGAAGTACACGTATCTACTCTACAGTTCTAGATGAAGACACACTCCAAATGGCAGAAGCACTTTTCGAGAATTGTAATACAAGCGACACGGACGCATCGGCAATAATCAAAATATTGCGACAAAGGGTTCTTAGTGAACGGATTATTGCACGGCCTCCTTCCACTAGAAACAATCCGTGCACCCATTGCAAAGTTTCCAGTTGACCTTGGAGCCGGCTTGAGCAGATTGCGTCTACCCAGCGACGATTCACTTCTGGCGGAAATCTCGCCGCCGGGTGACGCTGTGATGGGAATATCACTATCCGGCACGTACCCTACAGGCACTTCGACGACCCCATCTGTCGCTCCGCAAGGAACGGCGCTTCGGTTTAGAGCCCGACTTTTCAGAAACGGCTCGACATCTTCAAACCTCTGCACTAGAGATCCCGCGTCAGTTGCACGCGCTCCGTCTGCGTGATCTTCATGTCCGAGAAGCGCTGGCCGCAGCGTCGAACAGCCTGAAAAGAACACCACCTCTGCATCTCCTGTCTTTGTGCGACTTGCAGAGCGTTTCGAGCATTGGAAAACAAGTTGACGAGGTGTTGCCAACGCTGTCGCCCCCCCAGGTTTCGTGGCCGTGAGAAGAGGAGCACCTAGCACAGGCTGACTGACTGCTAGCAGAGCGAGGCACGAAATGACTTTCCAGACATGCCTGCGAGAGTTTTGCAGCTGAAACATTCTCTGATATGACCACTATCTGCCACTGAAAGACGAATATCGCTGTATGGAATCCGTTGCAATACCTGTTCGGGCCTCCACAGAAAGCGGGAGAGAGATATTAGGGCGATCCTGATGAAAATTTCGCTTCTCGTGGGCTAGGAGACGGCGTGGCTTTGCCAGAGGGTTTGAGACACAATCTTTAATTCAGTCATGCATGTTTACGGAGCCATCTAATCCCCTAATTCCTCCGCTGCCCCGTTTGCGAAACCCATATGCCGAAAGTTCCCTATACGGCCATGATTCTGAAGACAGATTAGAAAAGCGCTGTTAACTTTCAACCTGCGCCGCCAACGAGGATCTATGGGGGGCCCTGAGGAAATACAAACGATACAAATGTCATAGGCGTGCAATATCCACTGTTCGTTTCGGCGCAGTCCAGTCCAAAAGTTCTGTACGAGCACTCATTGAAGGGGATTGGTTGAACGCAGACACTTTCATGGATCACACACAGTGGTGTGGCAATGTACGGTACAGAGTATGTCTAGAGGCAGACTCCCCTCATGACATGGTCAGTCACATTTCCGTCCCTTGGCATATTGTACCGATCAAGAACGAGAGCTTTGTGTAATTTCAGATAGCAAGGAAACGTACGGGGCCGGCAGAGCGAGTGATGTAAGGACTCTTTACCAACTAGGGCATTTTGTGCGCTCCACATGTCGATAGCCGATCATCTCGCAAAACAAACATCTTTTAAGGAATTTGGCCGAGCAATTCCACTTCTTTCGCAAAGACGTTGATGTGAGGGAACCAGAGGCATGTTTCCAAGTCGAGATTTAGAAGGGTTGTTTGCAAAGCAGAACGCATGAGCGATATGCTATTCGCCGTCGACAGATAGTCTGTACAAAAGTTTGAGTCTGTTGGCACAATCTCTTCGTGTATAAAATATCAAAAAGTTTATCCATGATCGATAGAACTAATGACCGGCTCTCCGGCCAGCCTATTTGAAGCAATGATTACATCTCTCGTCATACCCCGTAGCATGGCTGGAGTGGCGTCTACCGCACCATAACATATATTTGATGTTGGCACGTGGTGTGGGCACATCGTTCTTTGCTCGGTTGGCTCCGATAGCTATCTCCAAGATGTGTCACGATAAAAGCCACTAATCCCTCTCGGCTAATTGCCCAGCCAGGAACATACTGTAGTCATCCTTTTCACATGAATGGGAAGTTTTGAACATGAACTAGTTTTAACGTGGCAACCACGGACGTGTGACGCGTCTAGAAAATCGGAGAATGTGAAAAGAGGATCGCAAAAACCCGCTGCTGGCTATGCATTCTCACGACTGCTCACCCATATCGCGAAATTTGCGACGCCGCCTAAAAGAAAATCCATGCCAGAAGTTGTTCCACGTGTGATGGAATCCTAAGAGGGAAAGTACTGTCAAGTCTACAAATAGTCTACATTCCTCACACCGAGCCCCCTTGATCAATTTCTGTACGCTTTTGTTCCCTCAACTGCACATCGCACCATCCCGTTGTCCATCAGAGCTACAGCGCATTTGCGATATTCTCCAAGGTTCAAAAAAGGTTATACAACAATGTAAAACGACAGGCAGCATTGGTAGGTTGTGCAAAAAGGTTTACACGGTAGTCACTACGACATGCAAGTGCATCTCGCGTTCAAAAATAACCCAGGCCAAATACCGGGATTTCACGAGACAGCACCCAATGATTTGCCTACACATTTCAGATTCATCATTCATACAAGAGTGAGCAATCTTTGGTGTGTGCGTACCATGCAACGTACTTGCGAAGAAATGTTGCAGCTGTTTCAAGGTTCGATTGTGTCAATCTGGTCCCGAGACAAACAAAGAGAGTTAGAGAAAGATGGAGTTTACTCGGGCTACCAGACCGCGCTCACCCTTGTAGATCCCGGCTAACGCCGAGACCACGTAGTGGTCATTAGTTTCGTCCGACACCGCCCTCCTTCGTCACACCCATTAGGCCCTGCCGCTTCTGCGGCGGCAGGGACCGCCAGCGCCGGAGCCTCGGCCGCACGCCCAGAGGCGAGCAAAGTAGAGAACGACTCTTAGACTTTGCTATATTCCGACAACCCGGGAGGGCGCGAGGTCACAGAGCGGCCGTCGCCGCCGACTTAATAGAGCACCGGGGTGCCAACCGTAGTTCAGTATCCTTAGTATCCTTCCCTTATCATACCTCAACCATCGCCACATCGACAGATTGTGAGGGGTTACAAACCAAGCAATCTGTAATGTTCTTCGGTCTCGTTAAGACATGGGGAAGTAGGTACAGGAATCCCCGTAGGGTATTCCTGTACGAGGCTACATGAATGTAAGTGCGGTGCAATCACATCTGGTCGCAATTTCGCCACATTCATGTCAAAATCTAGACTTCTCGATAAACATTTAAATTACATCCTTATTGGTCATTCTATCTAAAAACGATGTTCCTGTAGACGGAAACCAACATACACTGCATTGCGAACAGTGCAATTCACGCAATGCCACATAACGTATTTGCTTGACGACCCGGGATCTCGAAATTAATATGGAAAGTCGACAGTAATCATGTGCCCCCTTTTGCATCTATTGCATTTGAAGGGTTGTGTGATAGAAATTAGCTCTTGGCCGACACAAAACACCCTTCGATGTCGTTTATATATTGGAGAAAACTAAAATGACCATGCTTCCCTTCCCAGTCTCCCGAATATGTAGATGCCCTTCGTGATACATGTCTGTCTGCAGAAAGAATTCTGGAGCGTTTAGAATGTTTACTCCTTCGGTCTACGTCGCTAAAGCAGCGGGACATCAAAAATAATCTGAAAAGTCATCGCATTTCAGTACACATAGACAACGGTAGTGCTTACGAGGACAAAAAACACGAACGCATTTGCAGTAATCGTGATAATTTGAAGGTACGACGCAGTCGGATTGCTTGGTATTTACTATCCATTCGCCTAAGACGAAATTTCGAGTCATGCTTCAATGCGACCTGAATCGCATATTTCCAGGTGTAGCACGATGTGCGATATCTTGGAGGCCCTTTTCAGCCGCAGTCGCTTCTCTCGACATACTGATGTGCGCTGAATCATCGAGCAAAAATACCTCCCTCCGAACCGAACAAGGTTTAGGTGCAGCCACAACTAATCCAGAATCGTCCGTACTTGGAGGGGGGCCAGCGGGCGCTGAGTCTACGGGTTTGGGTGCGGGTGCGCTTTCCCTTATTCTTGCTCGAATAGGGTTTGAACAGCCTGTGAAAACGACTCCACTTTCACTCTTGGTCAGATCTGAACTCTGTGATGACGATGCGCATTGAAACACGAGTTGGTCCAGTGATCCAGTGTGCCTTACCATGGCGTAGTTGCTTTCCGTGCTCAGAGGAATACCAGTAGCGAACGTGACAAGAAAAGCAAGGTACAAACTCAGAGCTAACTCAGCAAACATGGCGAAAATTTTTTGAGATGTCGTCTTCGGGGGCAAAGGCATGCAGGTGTTGGAGTTGTGTGTTTTTATTTCTTAGAGTTGCTGCACGAGACCTAATTTATACTACTTTGCATCTGCAGATACCATCTCAGTGCGTTCCAGATCATGCGAGGTAGTCGGCCTCAATTCTGCTGAATTGAGCAAATCAACACTGTAACTTATTAGGTACTGTAGGGCCATTGACCACGGGTCCGATTATACCGAATCCACTCTATCTTCGCTGTCAATACAGTACAGTGCTAACGTGTTACGTCTTCCTTTCGTAGAACCAGAGAGAAAGAGTTGAGGTGTACAGGTGTATCCTCAACAGCAGGCACCGTTCGGTTTCAATATGTAGACCTTCTTCGGTTCAGAAAGTGCAGAGAGAAGTAAAATTTTTAATGGCAGAACCGTTTTCGCTATATTCGGGATAAGAGTCATTGTTTATGTAAAACATGTTCGTCCATAGAAGTTCCACGCATGCTCAATAATGAAAGAATTCGCAAATCCAGAAGCTGTTCGAAGTGAAAGGAGAGGTAGTCTGGTCATCCACGTATGGACACAGAAAGCTACATGCCGGTACAATCTTATGTGAATTCTTATGCTTTGGTGCCAAATTTTGTGATGGTGAAGCAGTACAAACAAATCCAGTACCAGATGAATAACTTGTCTACTCAATGACAATGACTACAGCGTGCATTTTTCATCCTCGGCCCTTCAACAGCACGTATATTTTGGAAGTGACGGGCTGTTGCTGGCGTAAAACATGTCTCGATGCTATGTCGCGATTCTACTGAGGAGGGGGCTTTACCGGCAAGCGCGTTTACAGTGGTCAGAATCTTCACGTACGCATTGGACATTTAGATTTCAACTCTCACACTGTGCGTTTTTGCCACGGTTAAAGTGAGTCAGGATGCATCTCAACCACACTGTAATTGCCAAAAACTCGCAATGTGCATATATCTTTCTTGAAGATATTCGTAGTTTATTGGTTCTAGTCAGTCACGAGACATCGGCTAAGAGGGGACACAGAAAGGCTACGCAAAACATTAGACCGAACTGGAAAACATAAAGAAAACATAAAGAGAAAAAGACATGATGAGAAAGGAAACTACACCGATCACGGTAATTAACATAGTCCATGTTAAATCTGAACGCCACTTTTTCGCTCTGCTACAAGAATAAACCTGATCCAGATTAATTTTGAATCCAGGTTAATACGTGTTGGAATTGAAAATAACATGGACCAGGTTCTTCAAAAGCCCACAATTTCCGGTGGGTGCAAGATCATTGCTGTCGTTTATATCGTACCCACCTTCTCGCTATTTTCTAACGGTTCACAGTCAAAATGATTACGATGCTTAGCTATGATGCTCTGCAGCTCCCAAAAGTGCTGCTTTTCTTCCCACAATCCGTTCAAGTTGAGGGACATAAGCGATGCGGAATGCGATGCGCACTGGACCGTCCCAATGCGGCTCTGTGATCCAAAACTGGATCGCTTTAGGTACGCTCGGTTGGCTGATAGTAATTACAGCCACTCGCTATTCTCCGGGGAGCTTCACCCCTATACATACTAGCGTGTACAGAGACGCGTACACACCTCTCAACAAATAACCATATTCTCAGACTGATGTCTATCCAACCGATGTTATCATAAGAGGTCTCTATCCAACATTTCTATTTTCGTGACTTGCACTTTTTCGGCAAGAAGGAAAGGATATCATCGCTACAATAAATAACTTTTGCGTTAGGATAACAAAGAGGTTGGTAACGACTACATGTTCTTCAGGTCCGTTTTTATAAACGAATGGAAAACAAGCCTTTTTAGGGCACCTGGAAACAGTGTATGTACTATAGCTCTGAAACGAAAACAACGGATCAGAATAGCAACCTGGTGTTTTATATGCAAAACAGTCTTCACTGCCAAGTGCTCTGTATGGTGTTTTTACCGAGGACAAGTACGGAAGGAGATGGCGCCCATAAAGACTTCCTAAATTTGCAGTTCAATGTACAGGGTGGGGACGCGCAATAGTGCCGCTTCATTATTGCCACCCTCGAATTAGTGCCGCAAAAACCGGCAGACACAAATTCTGCCACGTGTGATGCACGACGTCGTCATCGCCCACTCCTCATGCGCCTCAGCTCAATTGGTGATGGCACCTCACTCAAAGACCCTAACATGATTCCTGAAAAGATCGCCAAAGCGAAGCGTACGCGCCTTACGATTGCACAGAAAATCGAGGTTGGGCATCTGCTGCAGGTCGGGAATGCGAATACCACAGTTATGCGTCAGTTCAAATTTTCAGAGCGAACCATCCGAAACATCAAAACGCTCTCTTCCTTTACTCCAACAAATTGTGACCAACACCGCTACAACGCTCGGAACAAAGACTTTGCACCTGCGATGTGGAGGAATGGATTGAGATCGAGACTGAGCTTGTGGCAGAAGCTTCTATTAGTGATGCTTGCGATTCAATACATTATGGTGGAGAGCTACAGAATCAGTCTGCCAGTGATGCTATGATGGATGATTGTGTGGCAGAAGGCGAGTGTGAAATTACGGAGAGGCGGGCCGTACCGAGTGCTGTAGTGTTAGCAAGGTTGTTTGGGTCTTTGGAGAGTCTGGGTGTGGAGTGCGATGTGAGCAATGCCTTATCGCACTTGAGGTCCGCAAAACGAGCTTTTCTAGAAGCTAGGCATGAGAGATAGGGTCAAAGGCAACAACAGCAGACTCTAATAACAGAGTTCTGGCCGGGTAGTGATTCTGCTTTCTGATTGTGCCGCTCCAAATTAGTGCCGCATTATTAGTCCTTACACACGGCGGCACTAATGCGTAGGGTCGGCTGTACCTGTTTTTGGAAAAAAAGGACTGTTCTCTCACAAAATCAAACACTGTTCTCATGTTCGGACAGCTCCCAGTCGGATAGATATTAGCATGTGTTGGCTTGAGATATATTTGTGTGATTATACATAGAGGTCTTGAGACCTCTATGTATAATCACACACACGTGTTGTTCATTTGAGACGTTTTTGTGCACGCCCACTCTCAGTTTCATATAGTTCACACATACAGGTGCTTTCATCTCGAATAGCGTACAAAACTAAGAAAGTCTCCGAATGTTCTTCGCCTAGCTAGCGCCCATCTCTTGCCTGTTCTTCCAACCCCCGAGATTTTTCCTTCCCCAATAGCGGCACGCCTCCCAAGAACTATAGTACACTGAGAAAACAGGGATTATCGCTATGGTTGTGAGGGACAAGCTTCAGTCGCCCATTCAATATGTTTCCACCCATCGAGTGTCTGCCGCTGACAGTCTCGATTTGTCTGCTCTCGATAGGACGCGAAGCGTGAAATGTACAAATACAGTAGCAATTCGAGGGGTTCAGATTCGCAGAAATGAATACCTTGGCAGACAACCTCCTTCAGGGCACGACTATAAACACAATTTGTCATTGACTCAAACAGAGTTGCGAGGCCACGACGCCCTGCCAAGCTTCCCTCCTTTACAGTAATCTTCTCCAGACGTTTTTTACAAAGACAAGGTATCCCCACTAACTCTGCCCCCATCACGCTCATACATCCGCAAACCTCACCGCTATACAGGGGGGGTCTCTTAATTAGTGCACTTTTAGTTAGTGCATATTGGACTTTAATGCACCCTCTGATAGCTTGGCACGAACAGGTACAGGTGTACACGTATGTTCCACGGGAGCACAATGGTCGTCGCCGTCCTTAGAGAGCGGGTTCCATTCTTTTACAGATCCCAGAGTCGCGATCAGGAGAATACATCCAAATGCGACCCAGATGGTGAGACGTTTTGGCCTTGGAATCGTCGCACAGTGGCTCTGGAACATGAGATTGCCACATCTCTGGCTGCATGTCCACTATAAAAGTTTATTTGTTTTCCAATTTCAGCCTTCAAATTTCATTGGTGCGCTTCCAGGTCGACGTTGGAACAGATGAACATACCCGGTTCTCTGTAATTCGACTGGAACAGTGATGGATATCAAAGCGAAACTATATTCGGAAAAGGGGAACATTTTGAGTAGTGCAGAAGCCACTTTCCAAATTGTTCAAAAGTTGCGAAATCGATTGCCGCTCAATTCTTTAAACGTCTTCAAACTAGAAGTTGTCTCTGGGCATCGAAGGCTTCGCCGATCAGTACACAATTCTCTATATTCGCGCTCTGCACTTCTCCCGCTCTCTCGCCGCCTCGCAACCCACCCCGTCTCCGTTGTCCTTAACCAATTCCGCCGTCTCCATCCCCACCGCTTTCCCCCTTGCTGCAGAGACGATAACTCTCATCCTCGACCCCGCTGCCTTTCTGTGGGCACGATTGGTCACCCCCGCCACACCTCCGCCATTTATCACTGTTGGCCTTGAGGTCCGCCGATACTCGCCAACATAAGGTCACCGCAGACTTCCAAATTCGTTGCCTTGCATTATTGACATCCATCACCGGTGCTTTTGCTACGGTCGCACCTGCTCACTATCCCTACACCTCTGCCTTTTTCTACTTTAGACCTGAACGCCCGCTTTTCCTCGCGAAAAGACGAGCACAGCTGAACTCCATTTCCACCGCCTCCAACTTGTCCCGAAAACGATTATTGCTGCCTTGTAATCCTTTCGCCTTTGCAACTCACAAAAACGTCAAATTCAGACCTCCACCTCTACAGTGTAGGAGAAACTTCACTGCTATTTCACCAAAAAAATGAGTCAGTCAAGAAATCGCCGCATGTCTCTTGCTCGTAATGCTCCACAAGAAGCGTAGGAGTACCTCAATGAACTGAACTCGTCTGATTTAGAATCTCAGTTTGGTGGAAGGGAGATCGATTGGCAGAGCGATCTCAATGCTGGAAGGTCGATATGTAAGTTTCTGGTTGAGTGGGCACAGCGAGGACCATACCATGATGTCTTTTCTACTGGGGGAGGAAGTAAAGAATTGACGCTGTCATCCGCCAGTGTCATTAACCGTGGCGCTGCAGAGCTTTTGAATACAGAGAAAAGGGCGCAGGCCGCTTATCGT